CTACAGATAATCCAACCATCAGAGCGGGTAGAACTATTCGTCAGGCTTCCAACGCACTTGGAATCACTCAAATCCGAGTTCGGACGAAGAATTTACGGCGGAAACAATCAAACATACGCAGCGGAGCGTCTCAGTCTGAACTGGGACACCCGGGGTGTCTCGGGAAAGTCAAAACACCCCAGGGGTGTCTAGGAAAAGCCTAGACACCCCAGGGGTGTCTCGGCCAAGCCTGTGCTTTGCCGAGACCCCCCAGGGGTGTCTAGGCTTTGCCTAGACACCCCAGGGGTGTCCCGACGCCCTGTACCCCCTCTTGCCTATAAATAGGAGCCTTAGGCCTCACTTTTTGGGGATCTGGATTTTTTGGAGAGAAATTGGCGAAGCCCTGCTGCAGTGAAGAGTGATCGAGCACTCCAAGGGAGTTCTTCATCAGATCTACATCACCCGCATCCGTTCCTTAGCATTACCCTTCGCCGGTAATCCTAAGAAGAGCAAATATCTCGCTTCGATTTTTCTGGATCAGATCTGATTGCCAGGTAGTCCACGGATATCGACGTCCCCGTCACAGGCTAAAGACCCACGCAAGCAAGAGACGACGAACGGATCTTGTGTTTATTTTCGAAAAGTTGTAATTTTTATTTTCGTTATTTGAATTTCATTTGTAACGCTTAAAGTTTTAATGAAATCAATGATGAAGGCAACTTTTGACGAAAACAACAGGTGCACCTGCCAATGTAAAAGCATAACCTGAAGTAGACCGGCGTTTGTAAAGATCTCCAGCATAATCTGAATCCACATATCCAATACAATCCTGCCCACCCTTCTCATCCTTCTGAAATACTAAACCAACATCCACGGTGCCTCGAACATACCGTAGAATCCACTTCACGGCCTCCCAGTGACCCTTCCCGGGGTCGTGCATGTATCTCGATACCATGCTCACGGCCTGTGACAAATCTGGCCTCGTACACACCATCGCATACATCAAGCTACCTACTGCACTGGCATATGGGACCTTCGATATATAATCTCTGTCCTCAACTGAAACAGGTGACATCAACGCTGAAAGCTTGAAGTGGGGAGCCAATGGTATGCTAACTGCTTTTGCATTGCCATCAAAGCTGAATTTCTTCAACATCTTCTGCAAGTAGCTCTTCTGTGTAAGCTTCAAACTCCCTTTCACCCTGTCTCTCTTGATCTCCATACCCAATATCTTCTTTGCCTCTCCAAGATCCTTCATCTCAAACTCGGATGATAACTCCTCTTTCAGCTTTCGAATAGCCGAAGAATTTCTGGAAGCAATAAGCATATCGTCAACATATAAAAGCAAATATATGAGCTCACCATCCTGTAGTTTGTGCATATAAACACAAGGGTCATAAGGGCTCCTCGTGTACCCTCGGCCAATCATAAAGCCGTTGAATCTCTTATACCACTATCTTGGTGACTGCTTCAAACCATAAAGAGACTTCTTCAGCTTATAAACCAAATCTTCCTTTCCTGCAGCTTTAAAACCCTGGGGTTGTGTCATGTAGATCTCCTCATCTAAATCTCCGTGTAGAAAGGCTGTCTTCACATCCATCTGGACCAAATCCAAATCCAACTGTGCCACCAACGCCAATAAAATCCGAATCGACGAATGCTTCACAACGGGTGAAAATACCTCGTTGTAATCAATGCCCTCAAGCTGTGCATATCCCTTGGCAACCAATCTGGCTTTGAACCGAATGTCCCCAATAGAGGATCCCTCCTTCTTCGCATATACCCACTTGCAACCAATAGCTTTCTTACCCTTAGGTAGCTGTGCAAGTGCCCAAGTGTCGTTCTTCTGAAGAGACCGCATCTCCTCCTTGATAGCTTCCCTCCACCTGATCGAATCGGGGCTAGACTCTGCCTCCCTGAATGTGGCTGGAACCATATCGTCAACGACCTCCACTGATAATGCATATGCGACCATGACATCATTATACCTAGCTGGCCGACGAATCTCTCTCCTCGATCTATCTGCTGCAATGGACCTCTGAACATGACCCTGTTCATGAGTCTCATGATCCACTGTATCATGTATCTGCCCGGCTGTCATCTCATCTCCCTCTAGTGTCACCTCTGTAGGAGCCTCAATAGATACAGTGCTCTCTGGAGTGGGTGGAGTCACATCATCCTCCACCTGCTGCGATATCTCTCCTGTCTGGTCTCCCTCCACCTGCTGAGGGGCTCGAGGCCTCATCATGTACGCCTCATCAAATGTGACATCTCTGCTAATGACTATCTTCTTGGACTGCTTTCCTCGCCCTCGGATTCAATTTACCATCACTGACATGATAATAAGCTGGACACCCGAATATCCGAAGCAACTCATAGTCACTAGCCACCGAACCAAACCAACGCTCCAAAGGAGTCTTCCCGTCTATCGCAGTGCACGGCAACCTGTTCACGAGATGGCTCGCATAAACTACTGCCTCGGCCCAAAAAGATCTAGGCAATCCACTCTGTGTCATTATACAACGCACCTTCTCCAGCAAAGTACGATTCAATCTCTTAGCCACCCCGTTCTGTTGCGGTGTCTCTCGAACTGTGAAGTGTCTTCTAATGCCGTGATCCCGGCAAAACTGCAGAAACGGATCACTCTTGTACTCTCCACCATTATCTGAATGTAGAGTCTTCACCTTTCTACCTGTCTGCAGCTCCACTTTCTTCTTCCACTCCACAAAAATATCCAGGACCTGATGTTTATGCTTCATCGGGTATACCCAATTCCTCCTGGAATAATCATCAATGAAAGTGACAAAATAGTTGGCCCCACCAAGAGATGTGTTCTTGGAAGGACCCCAAACGTCTGTGTGAATATAATCCAATGTACCTAGGGTGTTATGAACAGCGGTGCCAAACTTCACTCTAGTCTTCTTCCCAAGTACACAATGCTCACACAATTCCATCTTGCAGGTCTTAGCACCTTTCAATAGCCCCTGTTTTGCCAATGACTGTAGGGAACCTGTGTGTCCAAGTCTCATGTGCCATAAGGTGGTAGTGTCCTCCTCTGTAGTGATAGAAGCTGCCAGACCCCCTGTAACTGTCTTGCCCTTCAAGTAGTATAGGTTGGTTTTCCTGACACCTCGCATCACCACCATAGAACCCTTCGTGACCTTCACTGTATCATCCTCTAAGATCACTCGATATCCTGCTGCCTCCAAAGTCCCAAGAGAAATGATGTTCTTCGCCAACTGCGGCACAAACCTCACTTCCTTCAATTCCCTCACTACACCATCATGCATCCTGATCCGGACTGAACCAATACCACCAATAGGGCATACGTGATCATTACCCATAAGCACGACATCCCCTCTTTCCAACTCCTCAAAGCTAGAAAACCACTCCCTCTTAGGGCAGATGTGATATGTAGCTCCCGAATCCATCATCCACTCCGTGGAATCCGCATAGCAAACCGACGGTAAAGCAGGGCATGAATAGCCTGAAGAATCTGAATCTGAATGCTCACCAATAGCTTTTGCAACATTCACTTCTGAAGCTTGTGCAGCTTTCCCCTTATTCTTTCCGGCTTTTTCTTTCCACTTTGGGCAGTCAATCTTCCAATGTCCTTCTTCTTTACAATACCGACATTGATTTCTACCAACACTCTTATAGGCACTCCTATTCTTTGACTTTGAGCGGTTGAACTGACGACGGTTTGGATCTCGGCCTCGAACTGCTAACGCATCTCCCGATGCCTTCTCGGAGGGTTCACCATCACTCTTCCTCAACTCATAGTTCACCAAAGCTGAGGTCACCTCCTTGTAGCTAACTGTAGTTCTTCCATTGATCATAGTGAGAACGAACGTACCATAATCATCTTCGGGCAACGAACACAGAAGTAGCATCGCCTTGTCTTCATCCTCAACTATAATATCAACATTGGCCATATCTGAAAGTAGCTTAGTGAAATTGTTGACATGCTCCCTGATGGAAACCCCTCTCTTCATCTTGAACTGGTAAAATCTCTTCTTCAAGTGAAGCCGATTCTCAATGCTCTTCGTAAGATATTTCTCATTGAGTGTTTCCCACATCTTCTTCGCCGACGTCTCGTTCATAACATCATAAATAAGATCCGGCGTCAAGCATGACCTAATAACACTTTGCTCTACTGTTCATCTTTCTCCAAACCTTATCCTCCAACTCAGCGGGTTTCTCTTTTAACTCAAGAGTCTCCTCCAGATTCTGTGCATCCAAAGCGTCCATCACCTGACATCTCCACAATCCAAAATTGATCTTGCCATCGAACTTCGGAACATCAATCTTCGTGTTATTGATGCTCAGACTCTGTATCGCCTTTGTTAGAGACGAACCTGACGTGCTTGCATCTCCCATGTTGTCGATCTAGCTCTGATACCAATTGTTGTGCACGGCGGAAGCTTTCTAGGGCAACACGAACAATAACTTGAACTAAACCACAAATAATATGCAAACCACAATCACAGCAAGAATAAAGAATTTACGTGGTTCGACAAGTTGCCTATGTCCACGGGGCAAGGAGGGGAGGAGTTCTTTCTACTAGAAATCAAGAGAATACAAATAGGGTTACAAATCTCTCAGACCAAACCCTAAAACAAAGCTCTAGATCTCTCAAAGCTCTCCCACAATTGGATGCAATGATTCTCTCTCTTAGGCTGTTCAAATTCGTCCAACCTCTACCCTAAACAAACAGGTTTAGGTATATATAGAACTTACAAAACGAATCGGGTCGAAAACCTGAAAGCCCAGCCCAAAACAGCGTCGGTCGACCGGCACGGTCGACCGCGATCAATTCCGGTCGACCGGCCCGGTCGACTGACCAGCTCCCAGCAGAAAACCCAAAACTCCAGAGAACCCATCGGTCGACCGCACCGGTCGACCGACCACCTTCCTGACGCACAGTAAGCTTTGTGCACGAATGCGGTCGACCGGACCGGTCGACCGCCGCCTGTTTTGCCTGATTCTTCTGAGTTTCTGTAATTTCTTCAGATGCTATCTCCAGAACTGCATTTGGAAGCAGCTACAATGAAGCTAGAAGAATTTTTGAGCTACAGGATGAGCAGATTGAACTAATGATGCTGGCACATCGGCATCCATTTACGCCTGGGTAAAAAAAAAATTCCATTCCTTTAGATCCGTTGAGCTATTACGAGGGTTGAGGATTATAATTTTATATTATATCGATATCCGTGCATGCAGAGCCCCCTTTAATGGACCACAATCTGTGCTATTATTATGCAACAATATCATCTTAATGCTCCTTCCCCTTCACCAGAGCACCAAAGTTTGTTCCTCGTTATTGCAGTTTCAATTCATTCCATTTTTGAATGGGGTTGCTAATTATATATTACTCGCCTTTTTAAGAATTAAATACCAATGCTTGGTTAGCCACTAGAGAAATTTATGAACAAGAAGCAACTCCTGTGCACATATCCTAAAATTTATTGATGGATTTAGGTTCATGCCGACAAAAGATAATCTAAGAAGAGATCAGGTTGACAAAGAGATCAAGATCATGCTAAGAGAACTGATTCAGAAGAAGGAACAAGCAATGAAACTGGGAAAATGCGAGTGCAAGGACTTATTAGGCTTGATGCTAAAATCCAGCAGACAAGCACAAACAAACACAAATGGTACAAATAAGATTGGTCTAACGATTGATGAGGTGATCGAGGAATGCAAGCTCTTTTACTTTGCTGGCCATGAGACTACTTCTGTGCTGCTGACATGGACAATGGTGCTCTTGTCGATGCATCCAATTTGGAAGAACCGAGCAAGAGAAGAAGTGCGAGAGATTTGTGCAAGGGAGATGCCCAATTATGAAAGCATTGGCCAACTTAAGATTGTAAGTGCCAAATTCTAATTTTTCATAGAAATAATCTATATTGGTCGATATATTAGCCTTTTCAGGGATGTTTAAAAAGAATGTCTATGTTAAACAAGGTGGAATATGTCAAATTGTCCATTGTTAACGGTGAGATGTACTTTGTTTCTACCTATTATCACCTGTACAAGATTCTTTTTTCTTTTTTTGTTGGAGGGTTCGGGGTTTGTGTGAGTTGTCACAAATACTTGTATCCCCTCTTTTCTGGAGATTGTTTCATTAATTTCTATCTAAGAAACACGAGGAGACCATATTTCATGATTTATCTCAAAAAAAAAGGGCCTTAACTATTGACATACTTTTGATTAGACTCCTTAGTTTACATTGTGAGCTCAACGGTCAGTATGCAACATTGTACTATCATATTGTCCTAAATTTCATCTGCATGACTACAATATCTGCTAACTATGCGCTCTTCTTCTGAATTTATCTATTTTACTTGTTGTTACAGGTGAATATGATATTACATGAAGCTCTAAGATTATATCCACCAGTGGCTGCTCAGTATCGACATCTCTACAATGAAACAAAGCTCGGGAAGTACACACTCCCGGGGGGCGTTGATCTTATATTACCAACAATATTCATCCACCACGACATCAATGTTTGGGGTGAAGATGCCGAAGAATTCAAACCTGAAAGATTCTCAGATGGAGTGCTCAAGGCAACAAACAATCAGTTTGCTTTCTTCCCCTTTGGCTGGGGACAAAGAATCTGTGTCGGGCAAAACTTTGCGCTGATGGAAGCAAAGATTGCTCTTGCTATGATACTGCAGCATTTTTCTTTCGAGCTGTCACCCTCATACAAGCACTCTCCTTTCAGTTTTATTACAGTTCAGCCGCAACATGGCGCTCCGCTTATCTTACACCAACTGTGAGGATTTTTGTGGTCGTTATTCTAGATGCTCTTATAGTCGGAACATACATTTGTATGAATAACAGAGATGATTGTGGATCATCGGGTTGCTACATAAACTTTGGTCTCGGTGGAACATTCTTGCCAGTATGTGTATATAAAATGTTGTATATGTTCTATTTAATCTAATAAATCTATTTGTGGACACATATGATTAATCAATGTGTATTGCTATCATTCAGGATAACCCACTAAAGTGATTAATTAATTTGGGTTAATGGGTATTTAAAATAAGTCATGGGGTTATATGTGCAGATACCAGGTTGTAACTGTAATTTGATGAGGGGCCAAATTACAAATGTACAACTCCTATATATATGGGGTTATGGTCCCTAATTTAGGGTTAGCCACTCTCATTCTCTTATCCTCAACTAAAGAGATCCATAAGAGAGAAACCCTAATGTTAGAAGATCTTCAAAACCCTAATCAAGTTTTCTTCAATGGATTCAGGTATATGCTTCCGCACCTTTTGATTCTTGTTAATCTCTTTGAATTAAATCATGGCTTTATGGTTTAGATCTCAAGTTTTATTATTCAGATCTAACAAGTGGTATCAGAGCCACCATTGATTTGTTCTAAGATATTAAGATTAAAATTAGGGTTCTTTGATCTTAATTTGTGTTTGATTCAGATCTGTTCACGGATGAACAGTAACGTTTTTAATTATTCCGATGAACATCAAAGTTTTTTATTTTTGGGTGAACAGTAAAATTTTTATTTTTTGGATGAACAGTAAAGGTTTTTATTTTCGGATGAATAGCAAAATTTCCTGTTTGTTTGGTTTTTTCTTTCGATTTTTGGATCTGTAGCAATTATGAACTCTAAAGTTCCTTTCTTTTGTGTTTGATTCAATTTTTGAGGTTTGGATCTAAATGATTTGAGTTCAAAAATCGACAGAAAAATAATTATCTTTTTTTTGGGGTTTTTGATATGTCGTCAATCTCCAAAACTCCTCGCTGGAGTTGATTCAGCGGCGGCGGTTTCAAATTAAACCCTCAAGGGGTTCGTGCGCGTGAAAACGTGCAGAAATTAATTAAGGAGGTGGTTACCTCAATTTTTGGCTAGGCTTGAAAGCTTCAAACGAACATTGCGTTCGTTCTCAAACGAAACTCGCGTTCGTTCTCGGGTGAGCCTCGTGCTCGATTCAGACGAACATTGCGTTCGTGCTCAAGTTGAACATTGCGTTCATTCTCAGGTCGAACCTCGCGTTCGTTTTCAGACGAACATTGCGTTCGTGCTCAGGTTGAACATTGCGTTCATTCTCAGGTCGAACCTCGCGTTCGTTCTCAAGTCGAACCTTGCGTTCATTTTTAAAACAAACATTGCGTTCGTTCTCAAGTTGAACATCACGTTCATTTTCAAACGAACCTCGTGTTCGTGCTTAGGTGAGTCTCATACTCAATACAGACGAACCTCGCGTTCGAAGTCAAGTGAACTTCGTGTTCACTATGGTTAAGCCTCGGCTTCTCATATTACGTTATGGGTCCACTTTGATATACTTAAGTTATGGGTCCTATTTAAGCTATGGAAATTTAAATTAATTTAATTTAATTTAAATTTAATTTGGCAGTTAATCAATTATTTAATTCAAATATTATGACACTAAGGTATTAAGGTTGTCTCTCACTCTAATTGTTTAATTGAAACAAGAAGTTGTCAAAGTAACCTCTCTTGTGTAGATTGTTCATGAGGAATGTGAGATGTTTGTGTGTATGCTTTCGTGTAAATATTTAATCGGCCCAAAGGAAGGTTAATATTTATTTAGACTGCATACACATCTACGATGATAAACGTGTGACAATTATAAGGTTTACATGTGAATAATGAATCAATCCAAAGATAGTTTTATTTTTGACATGAGTTATTGTCAATGTTTGATCATTGCAACAAGGTATCACTTGCAATTAATATTACTGTCCAAAGACTTGATATTAATGTTGTGACAGATATCTTGGATGAGATTTGTCATTATTTGAATTTTATTGATTACTAATTATGGTTATTGATGTGAACTTTTTTGTTTTATTTCAGTTAATGCATCCGCTGCAACAATTTCTGTTAACATCAACTCAATTCCTATGCTAAATGGGACAAACTTCAAGGTTTGGAAAGAGAACATATTAATTATTCTTGGCTGCATGGATCTAGACCTTGCATTAAGAACTGAACAACCCCAACCTCTCAATGCGGATAGCACTCCTAATGCAAAGAAGGAGTATGAGAAGTGGGACCGTTCAAATCGTATGAGTCTTATGATCATTAAGCGCGACATTCCGGAAGCCTTCAGGGGCATAGAATCCGAAGGGATTACTAAGGCTAACGATTTTCTTACCGAAATTGAGAAACGTTTTGCGAGAAATGATAAGGTAGAAACAAGCACGCTTTTAGCTCGCTTGATTTCAATGAAGTATAAGAGCAAAGGAAATATCAGGGAGTATATTACGGAAATGTCTCATATTGCTTCAAAGCTTAAGGTACTTAAACTCGATCTTTGTGATGAGTTATTGGTGCATCTGGTTTTGTTGTCTTTTCCTACACAATTCAATCAGTTTAAGATCAATTATAACTGTCAAAAGGAGAAATGGACTCTAAATGAGCTCATTTCATACTGTGTGCAAGAAGAAGACAGGTTGAAGCAAGATAAGATAGAAAGTGCCCATTTGGCCTATGCCTCTAAGGATAAGGGCAAGAAAAGAAAGAATGATAATGAAGCTGCTAAGGGTCCATTTCAGAAGAAACAACATAAGGATAATCAGGGTTGTTTCTTCTGTAACAAGCCTGAACACGTAAAGAAGGATTGTACCAAATATCACGCCTGGCGTGCTAATAAGGGTACGTTCCTTACTTTGGTCTGTTCTGAGGTTAATTTAGCTTCAGTACCTAGAAACACTTGGTGGTTAGACTCTGGTGCTACTACTCACATAAGTGTTTCTATGCAGGGTTGCCTGAGCTACCGAAAGCCAAGTGATGTTGAAAGACACATCTTTGTGGGCGACGGACAATCGGTAGATGTGGAAGCAATTGGGCACTTTAGGTAGCTATTAGGAACTGGTTCTTATTTGAACTTAAAAGATACTTTTGTAGTATCGTCTTTTAGACAAAATTTGGTTTCTGTTTCTGTATTGGACAAATCAGGTTATCATTGTTCATTCGGAAACAATCAATTCAATTTATCTTTTAATTCAGATATTGTGGGAACTGGTTACTTGAGTACTTATGACAACATATATTTACTCGATACAATTGCTTCTTATAATGAATCCTTGCATGTGGAATCACGTGGTACTAAGCGTAAATTAAATAAGGAAATTTTGGCGACATTATGGCATAAGCGCTTGGGTCATATCTTAAAAGGTAGAGTTGAGCGTCTTATGTCTAATGGCATTTTGGATTCCCTTGATTTTTCGGACTTCGACGTATGTGTTGAATGTATCAAGGGAAAACAAACCAAAGTTAAGAGATTAGGTGCCAACAGATCTTCGGATGTCTTAGAATTGATACATACGGATATTTATGGGCCATTCCCTACGAAATCCTGGAATGGTCAATAATATTTTATATCATTCATAGACGATTACTCATGTTATGGGTACCTATATCTTATTCATGGAAAATCTGAGTCTTTAGACATGTTCAAAGCCTATAAAGCTGAAGTTGAGAATTAACTCAACAGAAGAATTAAAACCGTTAGATCTGATCGTGGTGGTGAGTACTACGGTAGATATGATGGTTCAGGTGAACAACGTCCAGGATCATTTGCTAGATACTTAGAGGAATGCGGTATTATCCCACAGTACACCATGCCGAGTTCACCTAGCATGAATGGTGTAGCTAAAAGACGAAACATGACTCTTAAGAATATGGTAAGGAGTATGATTGCTCATTCTTCTTTACCAGAGTCTCTCTGGGGAGAAGCACTAAAGACAGCAGCTTACATTCTGAATAGAGTACCAAGTAAAGCAGTTGCTAAAATACCTTATGAGCTTTGGACTGGTCGAAAGCCTAGTTTAAAGTATTTACATATTTGGGGATGTACAGCTGAGGCAAGGTCTTATAGGCCAAATGAAAAGAAATTGGACTCTAAAACAGTTAGCAGCTACTTTATTGGATACTCTGAACGCTCTAGGGGCTATAAGTTTTATGATCCCACACTAAGGAATATTTTTGAGACGGGAACAGCAACATTCTTTGAGGATGTTAAGTTTGGGGGGAGAAATAAGGTCAGAGATATTGCTTTTGAGGAGGAATTGGCTTCAGATCCAATTCATACAGTTACTTTTGACAATATTCAGGTTCCTATACCTGTTGTTGCTCAAGAAATAATTCTAGAACCTCAAGATGACAATGTTGAACAACTCCCTATTCCAGAAGAACAAACTCAACAACCTCAAGAACCAGTGTCATTAAGGAGATCCACGAGAGAAAGGAGAAATGCTATTCCTGATGATTATATTGTATTTCTCCAAGAACATGAGGAAAGTAATGGAATGTTGGAAGATGATCCAATCAACTTTCTTCAGGCCATGAAAAGTTCTAACTCTCAACAGTGGATTGATGCTATGAATGAAGAGTACAAGTCTATACAAGATAATAAGGTTTGGGAACTTGTCTCATTACCAGAAGGTGCAAAACCAATTGGTTGTAAATGGATTTTTAAAACCAAGCGGGATGCAAACGGTAATGTGGAGAGGTATAAGGCACGTCTTGTGGCTAAAGGCTATACTCAAAAGGAAGGCATTGATTATACAGAGACTTTCTCTCCGGTTTCATCGAAAGACTCTTTCAGAATAATCATGGCACTTGTTGCTCATTATGATCTTGAGTTACATCAGATGGATGTTAAGACTGCATTTCTCAATGGAGACATTGATGAGATGATTTATATGGTGCAACCAGAAAACTTTGTGTCAGGAGACCCAAAGAATATGGTTTGCAAATTAAGGAAATCCATCTATGGACTCAAGCAAGCTCCTCGTCAATGGTATCATAAGTTTCAACAAATAGTTATCTCGTTCGGTTTTGAGATGAACATTGTTGATGACTGTGTATATCACAAGTTCAGTGGGAGTAAGTATATT